TAATATCCAGTGTGCATACTGGATATGGATAATGTGTTATGGGTCTGGCACCCCTAGCCCACCTAACCTGGGGATGGTTGGCCTCCAGAGCTGTGTTTGTTTTGCCAGATTGCCCTTGGGACAATGAGGGAAGCCATCCTGTAAACATAGGGAGGGTGTGACAAATTAGTTCCCCTCCCACTAGATTAGCAGGCTACTGTCAATTATCTCTATCAACTTTTGCTGGACACTGTAGCTGCTGGTGCAGCAAAGTCTGTACTCTCTGGCAGACCAAATCCCCCTGCATGATACTCTGTTTGGCCAGTTTCTACTCTTTTTCAGCCACCTCCTGAAGCCAGGTAGAGGCTACCCTCTACCCTCTCCTGAGTAGTACACAGGAGAAGGAGACAGGGAGGGATTGAAAAATATGAAAGCGTCAAAGGTTTCTTTTTTATAGTCTCTAACACTTAATACATGTAACGTTATGTCTGTAAAAATGATTGATTAGCATTCTGAGAATTTAGTGTCATCCTCCACAGGCAGTTCTCTTAAGTGATGCTGGCTTCTGGTAGAGAGCCTGCGGAAACTGCGGTGGATGGCACCCAGGCTAGGGAGCTGAAGTAGTTTGGATCAAGGACAGTAATAATTTATATCCTTGTTTGGATCTAATGCTTGGCTTGGGGTGGAACCGAAAAAGTACTAGTATTCTGTACTTCACTGATTATTGTTGAATTCAAACTAAAAATAATAGAGCAACCTATTGTACCAAAACAGAAAGAACTTTAAGAAAGAAAATTAAAGTTTGCTAACATTGTAAGAATAGATCATGACATAATAAACTTTTTGTACCATTCTTCAGTTGAAATGATAACTCCCAATAAAGCTCAAAATTCACATCATGCATTTTCTGGCAAAAAGATTCTAGCACAAGCCAGGATGTAGCCTGGGTGCCATTTGTACATACATTTTCATGATAGTATATAGACTGTCATAAATTCTCGTAGACTCTCCTTTCTACAATTCCTGGCCAATAGCATGCTTTTATTGTTGAGATGCCTATAATGACATTAAACTGACCCACATGACCTTTTGACACCTAGGCCACACAGATCAACCCGTTTGTACACACACCCTCAAATGTCTCCACACCCAAAACTTTTAAATAAAACTTTTGATAAAAATTTCACCACATTCCAGGAGACAATAGTTTACCATTTGTAACAAAAATCTGCAGAAACAAAAAGGTATCTTCCCAGTTCGCTGCTACACATACCATTACATGTATGCCGTCGAAAACCCTCAAAATTACATGTAAGTTAATGCCCCGAAATAACACCTTTAGCCAACAATTGCGCATGAGACATATGTAAGTACTGGAACTAATCATAAATCAAAATTGACAAACTTCATATCACAGAAATGTCTTGGCCAATCTGTTAATTGTACCTGTCAATTGTGCTCTTGAGGACAAGTGTGTACTTGCTCTGGACATGTCTATATGCACCAGGAAAAACATGCAGGGAGATTTGGAAACACTTTGAATTGAGTTTTCTTCATTAAGATATAGTATAGCCTGCTTTCTTCTCAAAAAGCAATTACTACTTGTCCTTGGAAGCATCATATTTGTTCAAAATACATTTGTAGTCGTGCTTATAAACAACTTATCAATAGCAAAGCAGTGGCATATGATACAATTTATTACTGGATAATGTAGTGAACCTCAGATTGTTTAACTTATGGGGGATTTTTTGGGTTTGGAGTCATCCATCATATAAAACCTGAGTACAGTCAAACCTGCCAAGGCGACCACCTCTTCAACTAAACCACCTGGCCATCGCAACCGCTTTTTCTCGGATCCGAAAATTTTCCCCATTGATGCAAGCATTAAGCGATCTTCCCAGTGCAGCCACCTGGCCAACACGACTGCCACTACTTGGGTCTGCCCTTGGCCCGATCCCTTCCCATGGCGACCGGACAACGGGGTCATAATTCTGTAAAGCCTTCAATCAGTGGAAACATCTATTCTCAAACCGACCAGTTTGTCTTGGGTTTCGACCACCACATGATGTTTTCGAATAAGGACAAAGATGGCCGCCACTGGTTCATTTTGGATCAAGGGATATGGGTGGGAATTTCTTGGGTTTACGCCCATTTGTCATTACTCAAATGATTTACTGTGCGTGATTACTACAGAGGGTTTACGATTAAAGTTTCTGTACTACAGTTTGTATCATCCGTGGTGTTGCTGTATGTACTGCACTGTACGCCATAGATAGAAATCCATTAAACCGTGAATGGGGCTTACAGCCGGCATCCGGTCAGTTGTCTTTCAAAGCGCTTGAAAATGTTGATACCGCTGTGCGTACTCAGAAAATTCCTATGTGATTGAATTTGATGAATCTCAAATAGTCAAATACAGCTGTATTGCTTTATTTGCCAGGAACTGTGAAGTTTAGGACCTGATACCTGCCATATTTGACATCAAAACACATCGAATCGGAGACGATTAACTCTCGGTCATGTTGTGAGCCAGGAAAATAAACCCTTTTCAGGCAGACCACCTGTCCAACCCGACCGTTTTTCTCCGGTCCCCTAGGTGGCCAGCTTGAGCAGGTTTGAATGTATTGAGTTGTAAACAGGTACATGTATGGATGGAAAATCATTGCAAATAAGACTCCCTGTGCATTTGTTCAGAAGTATAATCCCAAAGTTATGGATAACTGCATAATATAAGTGCAGGGGTTATGTATAATCATATATAATGGTCATATAGATTATGTATAAATATGTATAATTATGTATAATGATTCAAATTGTTATGTATAATTATGTATAATGGTCCAAAGTGTTATGTATAATGGTCCAAAGTGTTATATATAATTATAGATAATGGTCAAAAGGGTTATGTATAATTATATATAATGGTCCAAAGGGTTATGTATAATTATATATAATGGTCCAAAGGGTTATGTATAATGGTCAAAGGTGTTATGTATAATTATGTATAATGGTCCAAAGGGTTATCTATAATTATGTATAATGGTCCAAAGGGTTATGTATAATTATGTATAATACCAAAATCATTATGTATAATTATACATAATTATAGTATAATTATCTATAATTTGACTATTCCCAAGGGACTCATCAACGCTTTCCGCATATTCATTACCACCTAATATGTTACCATAAAAAGTATTAAGACAGTTGGGTTAAGCGTTTGGGATTTATGGGTGGGAGTCCATAATTAAAACGTTTTTCCATAATTATATCGCGGCTTGTTCAATGTAAAGCATTGTTTTCCCTTGTGTTTCTCATTCTTTCCCTGCCATGTGGTAAAATGTGGTGAACCCATCGCTATATTTGCTCCAAAGCAAATATTGGCCTTTCTAGTTTAAATTGATTTTCAAAGAAAAGGATGTGAACAATCCAACAATAAATGATAAAGCGTAAAATAATTGTAGTAGTAACTGAAATTCANTGGAGACTTGAGAGTTACATCAACCTTTTATGTACAGAACCCACTGAAATTATTGCCTGCAATCATTGATTCAGAACTGTCCTTGAAATGACTTTCCTCTTTCCATCTTTTAGACAATACAACCTTGGCATTATGGATGACATTCAGGAAGTCACTTTGTGTTCTTTGATAAAAGGAAAACTTTCTATCTACTTTTGACAAATTGTTCTAGAAGTGCTATGTGTATGCACCAACAGTGCTTGCATCTGTGAAAAATTGCTTCAAGTGAAGGTTGACAGATGTTTCTGTGAACCTCTAATAAAACTACAGGGAAATGAAAGAATTTATACCTCCAGCTATCATAAGGCAATCAAAAGATAAACATACAGGCGGTAATAATATATTTGATTAGGAAATCAGCTAAATCATTTTTCTTTTTTCCCTATAATGTATTGTCCCTAAAGGATGTTATTTGCAAAATTAAATTCATTAAGGTAATTAGAAAGGTTGTTCAAGAGGGTGTTTATCTATTGAACGTCCCAGATTATTTGTATTTATGTCATCAAGTTTATCACTCTATGGATTTTTTTTTAATTAATAGATTTGCTGTTGAATTCTTACAATAGAATATTAGTGCGTAAAGGGACTGCTATACAATGTACATGTATGTCTATGTAGGTGAAAGAGGGAAAAAGTTCAAATCAAATGATAAACTTTATAATATTATGCAGGGCTTAAAATAGCCACCATCAAAATCCTTGCCATAGCAGAGAAAGATATTATCAAGCAATTTTTAATTAGTAAAGCTTGAAAAATGTGTGTTATTGAATATGAATCAAATACATTATACTAACAGTTTCAAGCCCTGTTTATTATATGTCCTATTTTTCATTGTCATGCTCCACCATTTTTCCTGTTCTTTAAACATTATTCAAAATGTTATTTGCCAGTTTCTTCTACTGGTACTGAATAAAAGTGATGAGTGTCTACCTACATACCTATCTTGTCCCTTGACCTCCTGATGGGTCACTCAAAACATCCAGAAGTTACAATGTATCTCCATAGTTTATCCAATAGTAATGTTGTAACTGTCTATCAATCAATCAATCTATCTATCTTTTAATCAATCAATCAAAATGGTTGATTGATAAACAAAGATCGAACCAAAGGCTGAAATGTGACTTCCATACATACATGTACATATTGCACTTAGTATATTGCACTTAGTTTACACACAATACAATTCGCTTATAATATGAACCAATTTCATCGAATTCATTTCAGTGTTCAGGATTCGTGAGTCTACAAGTATTGTTTAGTAATAATGATAATTATATTAGGCCACATCAGCAGTAAATCAGTTGAACAGCAGTACATGTTTCTTTCTTTTCATCATATCTTCTCTTATCCCACCGTCATGATTGTTTGATCATAGTTACAAGAAGTGGAACACCCTGGCCAAAATCAATGGATGTGCTGACGTCATCCATAAAAATTCCTTGGTGTGGCCTTATCTGGATGTCTAAGATTCATTAACATAAACTATATCCTCATTTTTCAGAACTACCGGCCCTGTTCTACCCCCTGTGACCCAGCAGGTAGTTTGACTGGACAGTACGAGGTGCTGAGCAGATCGGGCGTGTCAGCGCTCATGTTTGGGTCCAGCAAAGGCATCTTTGTATTTAACCTGAAGGTGCTGGATCCAGAGTGCAGGTACATGTACTTTATAACCATTAGCACACTGAAGTAGCTGTTTGGGTACCAATTCTCCATTTGTTGTGGAGTTAAGCAGCATAGGCAGACAAACAGGTGTTCTGATTTAAAAGGATACAAATAAAGTAAAAGAACTGTTTTACAGTTCAGGTTTCCACACTCATTCTGCATTTGGATTTGACTTCTTGTGCAAAAGTCATGTATATCATGTTAAACTTTCAATTACAATTATACATATATAATTTGTAAAAGATGTGTGACATGCAGTTAAAACTCATGCAAAAGCCGTGTAATTAGCTATATCATGTGTGGCTATATACTTATATATCTATAATGCATTAACGACATGTTTGCATTTACCACGCATGACACAAACACCACACATTCACACACAGCTTTTGCATGCATTTTAGTTGGGAAGTGCACAACATTTAACTGCATTTTGCAAGATTTTTCATCACAATTTAGTTGCATGTAGACCATCACAAAGTTAATTAATATGTACTGCATTTAATGTACTAGTACTGTATTAGACTTCCATTCTGTTGTACCAACTACATTATCATCATGATATACCCCTCCCTCTTTCTATCTGTCCAGTTACTGTGTACTACAGACCCAGTTTGCAGTACGAGTGTACGGCTGTCCCCGGGAGTCCCTAAACCTGTACGTGTACATCTCAGTCCTGGCCTTCATCCTGGGCACAGTGGTCATCCTGGTCCTCACCTACTACAGGTTAGTGATGCATACCTAAACCCAATTTTAGGTTCAGGTCCAGTTTCAAGTCCAGAGGTTTAGGTTCAGTTCCGGACTTGTAACTTGTAAGTCTGGACCTAAACCCATGGCATATACAAAATTGCATGTTTGCAACCTTGCAATGTTGTCTGGGTGAAACTTTGGCAACATAACATGGAGGTCGACACTTGACGATGCCCGAAGGCAATGTTTTCTTCATTTTGCAGCAAAGATTTTGCAATCTACGGAAGGTTTTAGGTGGTTTGGAAAGAAAAGGGGTATGTGAAATGGTCTTTTGTGGTAATAAGTCCGGACTCGGTTCTTGACTTTTAGGTTTTTTTGGACTTGAACCTAAACATTCTTACAAGTCCGGATCCAAGTCCAGTGAACTGGTATGCATTACTACTACAGGTACTACAAACTCATGGCAGAGGAACACCAAAAACTCCTACAGGAGCTGACAAACAAGGAAGAGGAGGACGGCAGAGGGGAGGAGGATGGAGAGGGAGAAAAGGAGGAAGAGAAGGAGGAGGAAATGATGTAACATACTAAGGAAATTTATGGAGTGTACTAGGACCTAGTGTTCAACATCTAAAATTCATTCAGTTCTACATACTAGCCGCCTCCATTGCATTCATTCATTCATTCATTCATTCATTCATTCATTCATTCATTCATTCATTCATTCATTCATTCATTCATTCATTCATTCATTCATTCATTCATTCATTCATTTTCATTCATTCATTCATTCATTCATTTTCATTCATTTTCATTCATTTTCATTCATTCATTCATTCATTCATTCATTCATAGTGCTTGGGGCAGTAGCATTTTTTGGTGAGGGGGCTGGAGTGCGGATATGTGATTACTTTTTACATGGCTTTTTCTTTTAGGCGGCAGAGGAATTCTCCTATTGGAGAGGGAAAACTCCCTCGTGGGCATACCTCAGTCAGGCATACACCCAGTGTAAAATATTGCATATCAATGCTCCCCAAAATACATGCCAACGCTCTAAGAAGTCAGCTATATGGTAGCCTGACATCCATTCTATTCTAGCTCCAGTTTCTTCTCTGGTCATCTTAGTCAACACCATGACTGTCACAGAAAATTGACAGTCTGCAGAAAGCGTAACAGTTGTATTTGGCTGTAAAACTGTCTTCATTTGACCTCTCTCTCTCTCTCTGTGTCTCTCTTTCTCTCTCTCTCTCTCTCTCTGTCTCTCTCTCTCTCTTGTTAACTCAAGGTTGATGATGGCAGGAGCAACAAGACCCAAAATGTAGTAGCACGTTGATGGTTAGGTTTTGTGTTTACAGTTTGAGCTAGAAGAAAAGAACTATCTTGACAGTGTAGTTGGAAGTTGCAGGATATGTGCAGTATTCATTGTGATAATGAATCTTTTATTTGTTTGCAAAAATTACTTTACAGCTGCAATGAAAATCTGTTCCCAGTTTGTTCATGTAACAGACAATTTTCTAGAGTATAGAATACTATTATATAATAGATGAAGTTACTATAGCATTGCTGTTACTAACAGTAACATGAAATGAAGTGCAGTGCATAATATCAGGTAAAGTCACTTCTTAGAAGAACATTGTACAGTATAGGTGTAGTGTGATACATTTTATATTCAGAGTTGTAGATCTATAATGCATAGATTTCTTGACATTAAATACATTTTTCATTTCATATTTACACAGATATGTTGTCATATATACTAGCTGTAATTTGACAATATTAAAAACACCATAGGGTAGGCCATGTCGATATTTCATCATAGAAACAACTGGACATTATAAGCTCCCCAAATCTTTTAATTTACAGAAATACATTTCCATTGCGGTATGGGCCATCATATTCAGTGCACTGCACTTAATATGCACCATCTATAACCTAGTGTAACATTGCAATGCAGGATGTATGTTATTCTGTGATCAGTGGTTGTACTGAAAATAACATGGCAAGAAAGTACCTTTATTCACATCTTCAAAGCTTTACAACTTGAACTTCAGGGACTACAGTTGTATTATTCAATTCAATGGGAGAAAAATGTGGCTTTTATGTTTAATAATAACAATATCATTTAGATGTAACTGTTCTCATTTTATTATACACTGGCAACAACTGAGGTAAAGTTACTTGGCAAACAAAGGCATCAATAAGTGATCTTTTCATCATATTTTGCCAACATAAAACTTTAAGGTATAAGTACAGAAGGTAATAAGCTTTCTTTATTCATCTCCTTGGAGATATGAGTATTTTCTGACCGGTCGTTACCGTGGTTCGTCCGAGTGGGCCGAGAAATTCTGAAAGACGCGGCAAATTTAGGAGCACGTGTAGATCTGCACTGCGATTGGTTAGGGCGGATTAAGCTTACACTGTGATTGGCTAAGACAGGTCGTGCCCCGCCCGTGTTCACCACGTGATAGAAGTCCACTTGTACATCACTGTTGCGCAACATCAATTCATGACCCCTAGTATCTACATAAAATCCATTTCTAGTTCTGTTATCTAGGAGGTGCAGTGGTTGGTCTGTATTTCCTGGTCTTTTCGTTTGTGCTTGTGGACAGTTGTTTGTTGGGTGACACCATTTTTGATGACAGCGAACTTTTCCTTGACACCAGTCTTGAGGGAGAGTTGATGTCAGATACCTGTGTGTGAAAAGATTCTGTTCTAGTAGGCGTTTTTGTGTTATGTACTTTTTCTGTCTGCTTTATGCTAATATATATATATGCCTTCATAACATACACAATGCCTAATCGTTTACATATTTTTCTCACTAAAACCTGACAAACGTTAACGTTTAAAAAGAAAGATTACTAGATAAAACGTGTTTCTTTCAAAATAAATGAAAACCCCGTCCATATCTATGTGCTGTTATTCAAGAAGGCTTCTTATGAGTGGTAAATGCAAGGTACAAGAGTGACATTTGGATAATTAAAAGGAAAAGATCCCAAGTACGTTTATGTATAAAAGTTTGAATTTTGAAAGAAAAAACACTTTACAACAAGAATTCCGAGATTTCATACCTCCATGAAATATGGGCTTGATATGTAAATGTAAATTTCCTCTTTAATTATGCAAATTACCTCCGCATTAACATGATATATGCATCGTGATGTATGTGAACTTTTGATTAACTTACAGATGTCCCAAGTATGACATTCCCATCATTCACCATTAAGAAATCATAGAATTTTTGCATAAATTATGCAAATAAGGTCATCATTTGCATAATTAGTATCTGTTGATGTTCTGCCTGCCATAGGTTACATACATTACATATATGAAAGTAGTATAATGTAAAACACTAATTATAGAATTTCCTCATTAATTATGCAAATAAAGTCCTCATTTGCATAATTTGCATTTAATCATGTACATCTCTCTCTCAGCTACCTACACACCAAAAATTATGAAAATATGTTGTTCCTATCTTGACTTATTGGCTTTTAAACATTTCGCCAGAAAGTGCCCTGCACTTCCAGAACAAGCTGCTAGGGGGACCAAACTCACACCACTTATTCCTGACAGGAAAAGCAATCTGTCACCAAAACATCAAGACCATACCATGTTCAGGACAAAAGATACAAAAACCGGAAGTTCTGCTGCAGTACCAAGGTCAACCACTATCAGGCCCATATTTGACCTTGACGTTTGTCTTCCTAAGACTTACCAACATACCAAATATCATCATAATCCATAAAGGCGTTCTGAAGTTATGCTGACCACAAAGTTGCGGAAACACAGACAGACAGACATACAGACACACAGACATACATACATACATACAGACAGACAGACAGACAGACACGCCAAAAACAATACCTACATTTTTCATGGAGGTAATAACAGCTGATTTGGCTACTCAAGACTTCAGGCATATCCAAAACACAGTGATGTTTTCCCAATCTTACCATAGAAATAGGCGATCTCCCCCTGCACGTGGCCGGTCTGCGCGGCAGGTGCAGGGTGCCCTGTGGCCAGTAGTCGAAGTCCTGAGTCGCCTTTTCTATGGTCGGCTTCATGGCGACAGGCTGGCCGCGAGACTCGTCCAACACATCCTGAACAACCTAGTTAACACCAAGAACGGCTTAGATTTTTTGATGATGAAGTTTGTACTCTAGTTCAACACAATCAGATCGTTGCTTGCCTCGAATTTTCAGTCGCACATCCGTCGACCTTCAGGAGTGAAGTGACCACGTAACCAAGTGGGGTCGTGTGGCGCAGTTGGCAGCGCGTTCGGCTCACACCCAAGAGCTAGGTCGCGGGTACGAATCCTGCCCATGTCACCGATCTTGTGCCATTGGGATAGGCACTTTACACGGCGAAATTTCCTCACTTCACTCAGGTGGAAATGAGTACCTAGCTTCGGTTAGGGACGTCCCTTCGGATAGGACGTTAAATGGAGATCCCGTGTTTGGGATAGCCACACTCTAAGCACGTTAAAGAACCCACCGCACTTATTGAAAAGGGTGGGGGACCTTCCCGGTGTGAGTGGTTCAAACCTTTCAGTCCGGTCTTACGCAGCTTGTACTTACATGTACAAAACTGGTGCGTTACGCCTAAAGGCGGTTTACCGGTTATGCGAAACAAACAAAGACCTGAGAGACACTCAACCGAGACGGGGGACGATATCGCTTACCAGACATTTTTTTCATTACTTGAGTTACGGGTCTCAGGTCACGTGCTCAAAGTAATTGAATGACTCAAGAAGGTCGACGGATGTGAGCAACAATCTGATTGTGTTAAACTCAAGTACAAAGTATGTTAATGTATGTTGGAATGTAACAGCACAGATGAGCTTTCATGCTAATATGATTTCTTGACCGATCCGAGTAGTCGAAGAAGAAAAGCGGGAAATAATGACGGTTCACCTCAGTGTGGTGAAGAATAAGTACTAGAAGAAGAGATAGCAAGCAGATGATCGCACCAAATAAGCAGGGATCGGCAGTGGCTATATCTACAAATACACTAAATAACTCTGCCGATACATGTACAAGAATCCGAACAAGTCAAACATCGTCCAGAATTCTAAATTTGTCAAAAGACGGTCCCAGTGAGATCTAAGACATGTTTAGTTTTTTTTTTTTCACAAAAACACAGTCCATTTTCTACTGTTCAAAATTAATGCGATACAATGTACATGTATAAGACCTGTCCTTGGTGCTGAAAACCTGGTTATTTAACCTAGCATTTCCAATGGCGAAAACTGGCTCCTTTATCCAGAATTCTAACTTTGTAAAAAGACAGTACCAGTGAGATTTGTTTGTTTGGTTGTTTTTTTTTTCACGTAGACACAGTCCACAGTCCATTTCTACTGCTCAAAATGAATGCGATACAATGTACATGTATAAGACCTGACCTTGGTGCTGAAAACCTGGCTATTCAACCTAACATTTCCAATATAATGGTGAAAACTGGCTCCATTGAATTTCTTAACTACTTTACTGAAAGATTACAACCGCTGTTTGACATGAAGTTGTTGTGTATCCATCTACCCTCTTCATTAAGTGTACACTTCTCCTTACCCTTGCCTTGAAGTCTGCCCATCTCAGGTCGGCGTCAAACTGTCTGTTCAGCTCCTCCTCAGTGGCGGGCCTGTAAGTATGCAGGGGAACGGATCGGGGAGACATTGAGATATGTCCTTCTAAACCAAGACAATGTCTGCGTGTGTATGCGCTGTACTAGACGCGTGCTGCATGTTATAAATATGGCATCACCCACATATTAGAGTAGTTTTAGAGCTGTCTATACTACAGACATGTATATTACCTATTTCATCTGTTGACCTGTACTTAGCCCGATAGGGCATGGATGTACAATAAAGGTCATTATTAATAAACAGTTAAAAGCATCCAATGCAGGCGATAAAGTAAGAAATATTGTGGATGAGGAAATCTGTCTGATATTGACATTTATCACAACTTCTTAGCGAATTTTCGTCATCATTTCATCTCAAATACCCCCCCCCCCAAAAAAAATTAAACGATAAGGAGTTCCTCTATCTTTTAGTTTTAACATTAAATAGCTAGAACCAATCTGTTGTCAGTCAGCAACATCAAATTTTACCAGTAGATGGCCTCTGAAGATTGCATAGTCCATACTATGGATTTGTATATCAATTTCGTCCGATGTTGTTTCCAGAAACTTGTTGTTAACGTGAATTCCACCTCATCTCCGTCAAATACTAACTTCAAATTTGTATTTACGTCCATGAAGGTTAGATATCCAGGTAATACGATACGCCAAAAAGCAGTTACTCAATTATTACGTTTTCAAAATCATATCCAGTTGCTTGAGTAACTGCTTTTTGGCGTATCAAATTTGTATTATTTTAGGACAGCATTAATTATAGTTGATTTTATCTTTCTAAATGTTAGTTTTTAAAACTTATGAATTTCAATTAAAAAAAACTTTTCATAGCTTTATAAAGATGTATAAAACGTCTTACTCTTTGGGCTTGTAGGTCCTCTCGAAGGTCTCTAAGACACCCTTAGGCGCCATGTAGTACACCTGAGTTTTAGACATGCGGAGAATCCTGGCTCCCAGGCTGACCAGGATGGCTCCTGGGGGCGTCTTCTCTTTCCTCCGCCGTGTCCGAACCGTCCATTCCTGGACAAGTACAAAACACTCATGTCAGTCTTAGTTTTATTTGTTTATTTATTCGTGACCAAAAAACAAACTTTACAGCAGGGATAAAACCCCCTGAATTGCATAAAGTTTGCGTACACAATTACAAATTACAACCAACAAGACAGGCAATATTTACATCCCTCATATACATAATAATACATTATTTTCTGCCAATCAAATCCTCTGAGTTTTGTACAGAGGAGGTTTAGGAAACATATAAAGCATGGAAAATGGTTGCGTTCTATTAGGATCTCCACAAGTAACTAATTTTTGAGGGCTATTAAACGCTTGAAGTTATGAAGAATGTGTGCAGATTTCCTTATCCAGAATCCTGAAATTGCATTGGACGCATTTAGCAACACGCTTTGTTGTATCTCTCTGCCTCAAAAGGAACTATAAAAAAGTGTTAACTTCGACAAGTTTCCCAAATACTTCAAGAAGCTACCTACAAATGTTGCTTGTTAGCAACGTTTTCCTCCCACACATCCATGACACTTTGGTTGTTTACTCCCAACGGAACAGCTTTTTTCTGTATGAGCGTCAATCCATCATCAGCTGATTATCGTGTTATGGATGAGAGAGATTCCGTGGGGAGTTAGGTAAAAGTGTTGTTAAGGCCATGTTGATTTGATTATATGGATGACATCCTCTGGGAACCCCAAAACTGATGCGCGCGTGCGAATAAAAACGTTTTGCCAAAAAAAGTTGCTTTCATTATGAAATCTCCGTGGTCATGAAGGTTGAACAAATGAGAACATAGTATGGTTTGGCAAATAATCTTGGCTTTAAATTCATTTCTTTACATTTTCGTCTTTTTCGTTTGATTTTGGCATTTTACGACATTGGTATCGTTTTCCAATGTTGCTTTTTCCAACCTACGGTATATATTTGCTCATGTTGCAACTGTTTTGTACGATTTACAGTGTGGTTGAAAACTTTTTGTTTTGGAAACGGCCAAAAATTCTTACGCGCGCGGATGTCATCCGTATAATCAAATCAACATGGCCTAAGTGCATATGAGTTGAGATCCAGTCAATAGCAAGACAAGCTAAGGCGAGCGTTCCCATCTAAGAAAATTATTGACAAATCTATCCTTGTCAAGGGTCACTAGGTGTAAGAAAACTAGATCAATTCGTACTATCTGTTATTTTGTACTAATCTCCAAACAGATCTTTTGGTGGCTGAAATATAGTATCAAAATTGGCAAGACAGTCACTGTATCAAATATAACAGACAGTATCCAATACGCCACCTTTAAACAGATACCAGTACAAAAATCGATAAAAACTCCCAAGAAAGGTCAAAATAAAACTCGGCTTGGGGAGTAATTTTCAATATCTATTTTTAAGACTACATTTTTTATGTTTATCATTATTAGCTTACAGTTATCAATCATACCCCATGACATCGCTTTTGTATACGTTTCGATCCATCAGTACATAAAGGGTATTGGTAAACAATAGCAACAATGAATATTCCCGGAATCATTGTGGTGTAATTGCATGCTAAAGGGGATATCTTCAGGGCACACAGTTCTCATTGAGGCAGCGGTCTTATATAACGAATGAAAATGAAAAAAAATGACCCATAAAATTTAGGTTAGGTGGGGGGGGGGTGAGTCAAAGTAAATCGACGCCTTTTATTTTCAATACCTGTGCCCTTCGCTATAGGACCCTACAGCTAATTAGTATTTACCAGACTTAAGAAGTGGCTGGAAATAGCAGAAATAGGCCTAATAGAGAGATAACATGCTAGGGGAGTTGTTCCGGTATTAAAAACACAATTAGACTCTCTGTATTTTCAGCCAACTTCTACCACTCCTTCCATTCTGAAGCTAAGAGGCTAACATCTATCATCAAACTTGAAATATTGTATTTTTTTATACTGAAGAAGGAAATGGATTGCATGCGATCAAAATGGTTACGCATTTAAATTAGGACATGCTGTTCTACCAACACCTTACCGTGTGGTCTCCAGCTTCCAGCACTCCCACTTGTGCATAACAGACGGTATCCCCGTCCAACACGTCCCCGTGCTCGCCAGGTTTCCGCTTGACGAACGCCTGGGCCGTACCGGGTCGGGCCCGGATCTCGGCGGTCCTGGGGCGGGCTGGCAGGCCGGGAGAGCTCCAGGCGTCCACGGTGTCCAGCGCGCTGGGAGCCTCCCGCGGCCGGACTCGGAACTCCCGTAACATCTGTACCTCTCCCTGAGATGGATCAACAATCGTCTTAGGATGCAAAAATAATTGTTTGCTAGTTCTACACATAATTTAATATAATTAAATTAAATAGACAGTGCACGTTTTGGTTTTTAAGAACACTAACTCGTTGAAATAGATTGTGAATGTAAAATGTTTGTATATCAAACTAACGATTTCTTTAAAAACAAAGTTATTATGATGATGTGTTGCAAAACAACGGACACATGGCGGCAAAGTAGTGACTGTTATTAAACTCGATTAGATCGAAAGTTCAGAGTCGAGAACAGTTTGTTTCTTGTTATACTATTTTAAATTAAGTTGATGTGGGGTCGTGTGGCGTAGCGGCAGAGTACTCGACTCGGAACCAAGAGGTCCCGGGTTCGAGTCCTGACATGCCACCAATCTTGTGCCCCTGGGAAAGGCACTTGTGCCCCTGAGAAAAGGCACACGTCTTTCCTCACTTAACTCAAGTGAAAATGGGTTTTGCCTTATTTGTATATTGTTCCGTATTTGTCCTATGCGTTGGTGACGGCATAAAATAAGTTGTGTGTGCCAGCATCATGTCTAGTCATGAAATGTTGGAATAGAAAAAAATAATAAATTGAATATTCGTTACCTTGATGACGAAGTAGAGAGAGTCACTCCTGTTAGTGTCCCTGTCGATCACCCTGCCGTGAGGGAGGTCCATCAGCTGAGACTCAAAACACAGCCGCTCTAACAGTTCATCCGACCACTCCTTAAACAACGGGAAGTCCCTGTGGACACGGAAACATTTGTTTCGTTATTATGCTTACCGAAGGAAAACATATTGTTTTGGCTCAGTTTCTTCTTCTCCAAACAGTGACCTCTGACCTGACCAATGACATGATTTGTTGACGTCTGTCACCATGGTGACTGGTGTTGGGTTGCAATTTCATGGTCTGCTTTATTTGCCCCTGTCACCATATACTAGTAGTACATGTATGTGAATGTATTTGAGTATTACTAAGAATTAACAGAGCAGACCATATCCGAAGGTAAACATTATGCATTTGCTTTGCAAATGTTACTTCTCTAGTTTCAGATCATTAAAAAAAATCTCTATCAGTAAAATACATATAATGTGCATAATTGCTTCGAGGAGTCCATTTCTGATACATATACTATAGAGTATGAGAATATGTATGGTGTTATTCTTGATTGAAAGCATACTTAAGTCTATTACGCTTGTTTGCCTTCCTGTTGTTGTTTTTTTTACAAGATATGCCCTTCAAGTTTTTCATGAAATTGTTGAATAAAGCAAAATTTTGATGTTAGATTAAGGTAGCAAAACAAAGAAAAAACGACGCGAGCACTGAGAAAAAAATCATCCATTGCTGGTGGGCCCAACTTTGGATATTTTTTCTCAAAATTTTCAGTTATTACCTTTAGACAAAGAACATTGTTTTTTAATTTGACAGAATTACTTGACAGACATGTACACCAGTCAAATAGGATTTTAGTGGTAGTAAGTGTAGACTCCATTTTGTTTTCTGCACAGATCTCGTTCCCAGTCACCTGATGACGTGTAGTTTCTCGCCCATCTCGTGCATGACGAAGCCTGAGCACGTGTCCACGAACGTGTCCTTATCCACCTGGAACAGCTCCGTCCCCTCCCGGGCCACGATAGACGCACGCCGCCGCCCGTCACTTAGCAACGCGATCTCCTGAGCAAAGGAAAAGAAAAAGAAAAAAGTTGGTTCTAAGGTTTCATGTTTTGGGAGAGTAGCAAGAGTGGTGTATGTGTGTGTGTGTTTGTGTGTGTGCGTGTGTGTGTGTGTGTGTGTGTGTGTGTGTGTGTGCGCGCGCGCGTGCGTGCGTGCGTGCGGGTGTGTGTATGTGTGTGACAGAGAGAGGGAGAGAGAAAGAAAGAGAAAGAAAGAAATAAACATAAGATCTGACAACCAGTTATATTCACCCTTCTCGTATTTTGTATTCTTCTTAACGTAACGCTTTCTGTTGTGCTGCTCCATTCTCTGATATGCCCCTTCTATTTTATCCGTTGTCTACGCCTCTTT